TCTTTTTTGTTTGTAGGAAATCTGAAAAATAAATGAAAATTTTTCCTAATTGTGCCAACCAATGATACCTATCCCCTGAAAAAAAAAAAAAAAAAAGGCCACCAAACCCTTTGCTGTCAAGTTGATTCTGACTAAAAGCGATCCTGTAAAACCCATGGCCCTTGAGTTGATTCTGACTCCTAGCAACCCCCAAGGCAGTAAATCTTTACAGAAGTGGTTTGCCCCATCTTCCTTCTGTGGAGCAGCTGGTGAGTTTGAACCACCAACCTTCTGGTTAGCAGTCAGATGCCTTAGGCACTAAGCCTCCACAGCTCCTTAGTGATCCCATAGAACACAGAAAAACTGCCCCATAAATTTCCAAGGCTGGAATCTTTATGGAGACAGACCACCACATCTTCCTCCCGTGGAGTGGCTGGTGGGTTCAAATCGTCAACTTCCAGTTGGCAGTTGAGCACTGGAACCACTGTGCCACTAGGGCTCTTTAGCCCATGCTCACTGTTAATAAGCCTGATGTTACCTTTCCGGCCCCGTGCCTTCTGGGTGCTTTCCTTTTTTGTTCTCTTTCCTCTTTCTCTTTTTTCACTTCTTTTCCTTTACAAATACACATCTGTACCCTCAGCGACCCTTGATCCTTAAGTGCATGTGTGCACACACACACACACACGATATGGTGCTGTGTGTGCACCTTCTCCAGCTGCAGCCACCTTCACTGCCACACATGCCCCACCTCCCAGAAACAGCAGGAGTCAGGTTTGGGGGGCACTGAGCCCACACCATTTCTCCTGCTTCTTTATGCTCATGTGCACATCGACCATCAAACACGGTGGTGGTGGCTGTGTGCTGGAGCTTTGAAATGTGCATAAATGATGTGGTTCTGTGTGCATAGCTACATTTTGCTTTGTTTTCCACTGAAAATTCCATGTTTAAGCTTTGATCCCTTCTTTCAGCTGCTTCCTAGTGGTCTATGTTATTGTGCACTTTGTTTACACACTGGACTCTTGTGGACATGTGGATTGTCCCCAGTGTTTCCCTGACCCCATCAGAACACGCGGAAACAGGAGCACTGCCTGCCCTTCAGGCTTAGATGTAGAGTGATTACAAGTGTTCTTGAGGGGCACGTGGCCTGGGTTTATCGGTTGGATTCTGGGTATCTCATTTTTACTTTCTCACATTTTCAAATGTCTCTCTTAGGGGCAGCATGTTGCTATGCCTCCAGCCATGTCCCAGAGTCCCATTTTCTTAAACCCTCGCCAACATGTTGCTGTTGCTAGTTGCCATGGAGTCAGCCCTGACTCACGTGGCCTTGTGTCTAACAAAACAGAGCAGTGCCTGGTTCTGCACCCCTTCATGACCGTTGCTGTGGTTGGGTACGTTGTTGTGACCATTAACACAGTGACAGATTTTCATTTTTCATTTTGGGAGGTTGCTGTTGTTCTGCCGGCCTGGTGGACTCGTGGTGGGGCTTGGTGGTTTCCACCTGTGTGAGGACCTGAGCCTCATCTCTCAGGAAAGGAGATGCAAGGGACGTGTCGGGTGACTCATCAGGCATCTGGGCCTACAGACATGGGTGCCAGTCCCTGATCTGAGGGGACAGCAGGGAAGCAGTCTGGGGACAGAGGACACTCGAACCTGTGGGGTGTGGAGGGTGTATTTGTGGGTTCAGAGGCCCAGGGCAGCCAGTTCTCTGAGCAGGAGCTTGCTGGGAGGCAGACATGAGGCTTTGAGGCCCTTGGCTCTGTGTCTACCTGTTTTCTCTTCTTTACCCCTCATGACCCTGAACCATACAGGCCTCGGAACCTCCAAATCCTGGAGAATGGGGTTTGCTAAGAAGCCCTCAGTCACCAGGGCCTGGGGAAATCTGTGATGAACGGCCCTAGCTCCCTGGCGTTTCCTGGCTGCTCTTGGCTCCTGGTCCCACAGCCTGTCCCAGCTGTTAGTTAACTTTGCTCTGAGCAGCACATGCCCAGAGCAGCCTCCTTCAAAGCAGCCTTCCTGGCCGACAGCCATGGGCCCTGGACTTGATCAGCCTCCTGCTGTGCTGCTCTTGCACCGGCTGGTCCCGAAGCCACGGTTCATTTTTCTAGGTAAAGAGAGACAAGGGCACTGGGGGTCCAATCAGGAAAAAGGGGAGGCTGGCTGCTGCTGTCTTCCACTTGTTAGGTGTGGGGGGCAGGCCCAGGCCTCTCACAGACACTGAGCAGTGCATGCTTCCATAGTCCAGCAAACATGGAAATAGCACTTTCTATGAGCCCTGGTAGTGTAGTGCCTAAGGCATTTGACTGCTAACCAGGAGGCTGGCAATTCGAACCCACCAGCCACTCCTCAGAAGGAAGGTTGGGAAATCTATTTCTGTAGTGAGACTGCCTCAGAAACCCGAGGAGGGGTCACTATGAGTCGGGTCCCACTCAACGGCACATAACAACAACATCGTGAGCTATGTGAAGAGCTCTGGTGGCATAGTGGGTAAGGTGTTTGGCTGCTAACCTGAAGGTCAGCAGTTCAGACGCCCCAGGTGCTCCGTGGGAGGACGATGAAGCAATCTACTTCTGTGAAGGTTAATAGCCTCTGAAACCCAACGTGCTATGTAGAGCCCCAGGTGGTGCAAATGATTAACACACTTGGCTGCTCCCTGAAAGGTTGGTGGTTCAAATCCACACACACATGCCTTGGAAGAACCTATTTCCCGAACATCACCCTTTGAAAACCCCGAGGAGCGCAGCCTGCGCTGGTGCACTTGGAGTCCCCATGGTCAGAGTCGACTGGATGGCGACTGCTTTTTTTTTTTTTTTAATGTGCTGTGTACTGTGTTCCAAGTAGTTTCCATATGTTCATCCATTTAACCTGTTCCAGCCCCATAGGCCATTTAGTCTTACTCTCACTCGGTGAGGATGTTCAGGCACCAACAGATCAGATAACCTACAGGACTTTGCAACACTGTAAGTAGGGGCATGGGCTTCCCAGTCTAAGTTCTCTGCTTTCCTGTGAGGCTGGAGGCTGGGTCTTTGTCCTGCCCTGATGCCTGCATTTGACCAGCACATTGGGCCCTTTTCATCTGCAGCGTGTTGTCTCAGGGCCCCAGTAGGTCTGCCTCCCCTCCTTTTTCCCACCAATATTGACTGTGTGTCTGCTTGGCACCAAGCACCCAGGAATCACAGATCCTCTGACTTTTGACTGAGGAAGAGGCAGAATGGGGGGCTGGAGGATTGGGGGTTTCAGGCAGTTGGAAGCCCCCACCTACCTCAGCTCCTGGGCCTTCTCACCTCACTGTGGAATGCCTCTGATGGTCCCAACCCTCCACCCTCTTCTCCTCTCCTCTGTCCCTGCAGCCTGGCCAGCTGCTGTTGGTGTGGGTCGGCTAATGAGGAACACAGGACAGGCTCTGTGAAACAGGCCTTGTTCCAAGTTTTTGTGATTTTGTGTTTTGCCCTTTTCTTCTCTTTCTTTCTGGCCTGCTGTCTCTATAGGAAGTAAAACAGACGGATACATGGAATTGTCATTCTGTCTGCTGAGCACAGTCAGTGGGCAAGAAGTTAGGCTTAGAGGGATGGTTTCTAAAACTAGGAGGCTGCCTCCAAGCAGCTGGCCAGCCACCTGTTTGGCTGAGGGATTCCTGGGTGGGACACGGGCCAGTGAAGGGTGTGGGGAAGGTGCAGGGCCAGGGATGCTGAGGCCAGTGTTCCATGAAAGCGTCCCTTCATGCATTGATTCAGCTCGTGCTCTGTGTGATATGTAGCTGTTGATTCATTCATTCATTCCACCGGCATGCACTGGAGGGGCTTTAAATACAAGCAGCAGCAGAGAAAACGGAGAGGGGTGTGTGCCTGTGATGAGCTCAGGGCCACAGGACACGCAGCGCAGAATAAAACCCTGCACTTCAGTGGGTACCCCTGGCCTCCCTTGCCCCTGGGCTCCTTACTCGGGCAAATGGACGATGCTTAGGTCCCTCTAAAGCTCAACAGTGGGGCTCCAGGAAGGCAGTGTCCACAGGGTCAGACCAGGAGATACCCAAAGAGGAAGTGGGCCAGACCCCTGGGTAAGGCCTGGAGGCCTCCAGGTCACAGAAGCCCTGACACCAGCCCTCTGCCCTTGCTCTCCTCCCCAGTTCGACCTCCAGTGGATCATCATTTACTGTGACGCACGACATGCCGAGCTGGAGACGTGCTGTGACATCCCTTCGGGTCCGGTGAGCAAAGCAAAGACTCTTCACGAGGGAGTGGGAGAAGTGGGTGTGTGGGCTTGAGGTGTGTCAGAGCTTAGGAATGTGGGGTCCAGGCCAGGGGGCGCCTCATGCCATCAGAACGTAGTGTGAGCAGAGCCTGTGAGCCTTGCCAGGCCTCTGCTTCCTGGTCAGATGGCGCATGCTGGAGAGGGGCAGGCAGTGCCTTGTAAGTCTGAGAGGCCCTGAGGCTGCCAGGGAGCAGTTGGGCCCAGCTCTGGGGAGCCCTGCAGGCTGAGGGGATGTGCCCTAAGGGGGATGTGACCATCCTTGCTGCATTGCACAAAGGCACAAAGTGGAGAGGACAGTGCAGGAGTGTTCCCAGCCGGCAGCGACACGGGGAGGAGGAGGCATGTGCTCAGGTCACCCCCCCATGCAGGTTTCTGCTTCTCCTTGTCCTCTCCACCCTCCCCTTTCAGTAGTCTCTCCTTCTCCAAGTCCCTTGACCGAGTCCTAAATCCACTGCTTCCTTGGAAAACGGGGACGGTCATCGAGGCTGCTTCACAGATCTGAAGGATTAAATCCATGTAAGACACTTGGCCCTGAACGCAGACACAGTGTGCGCCCTGTGATTGTGACTGTTATGGTCCACAGGCCCCCAGCAGGTGGCACTCACGGTTCCCCTTTGCCTCCTTGCACCCCCTGCTGGAGAGTGGTTGCTGGGTGAAGCCGCATTCTGACCCAGTGGGCTTTCCTCCCAGTGCCAGGTGACCATCGTGACAGAGGCCCCACCACCACCCCAGCAGCCTCCCACCTCTGGCAGTGAACAGATTGGGTTTTTGAAGACCATCAATTGCTCCTGCCCACCCGGAGAGAAGGTACTTTCCAAAGTCTCCTCTGAGTTCCCAGCCCAGAGCCCCAGAGCTGGGCAGGGTGAGGCTGATCAGCAGGATCATGGCTCCTGGTCCTACAGTGATGGTGAGATTTTCCCATCATGCACCTAGCCTCCCAGGGCAGGGTGGAGCCAGGCTGTGGATGGCTCTCAGGCCAGAGCCCCATTTTTGCTCCTGAGGGCTCTTGTTGGTTGATTTATGTGCATATTATATGAGGGGACAGCCCCAGATCTGGATTTCATCAATATTTTCCTCAAGTTAATGTGCCTTAGGCAGGTTTTCCTGGCTCCTGCTTGTAGGGTCTCCACTCATGGGCAACTAAGTCAACCTAGATTTGTTTGAGAATAAGACTCAGCACAGGGCAAGGAGTGAGGGGTTCCACATGTCCTGTGGGAACACCCTCTCACCTCTTTCTTCTCCACGTTTCACTTGATCAGTTGCAGTTGATAATCTAACGATGTCTGAGTAGAATTTTATGCGTTTTGTCATGTGAAAAGGTGGTGGATTTCTATGTCCCCACCACCACCACTGCCTGTCAGCCCTGACAACATTTCTCTCCGTGTGCCTGACCAGTGTCTCTTGATTACAAGAAGAAAAAAAAAAATCGTGCCCACTATTTAAGCAAAAGGAACATAAACAAACATGTAAGGATGACAGAGGCAGAACTGTGCTGGGGAAGGTCCCCGTTAAGCTCTGCAGGACTGGCAGCTCCTCTTGTGGTGAACTGTGTCCCCAGATTGGAGTTCTAACCCTGGTCTGTGGGAATATGGCCTTGTTTGCAAAGAGCATATTTGTGGGGAAACAGTCTCTGAAGGGGTTGGTAGGTAAAGTAGTGTGAGTCATACTGGAGTAGGGTGGGTCCTAATCCAGTCTGACGGGTGTCCTTATAAGAAGAGGAGCAAAGCTACAGGGACACAGAGGACGGGGCCGAGTGGAGATGGAGATGGAGGTGGAGGTGGAGATTGGCATCAGCCAGAAGCCAAAGAATGTCAAAGATTGCCAGGAGCCACAGAAACCAGAAGAGGCAAGAAAGGATCTGCCTTCAGAGAGAGCATGGTCCTGCTGACACCTTGACCTTGAACTTCTGGCCTCTAGACTATGAGCAGACACATCCCTCTTATTCAAAGTCCATGAGTATGTGATATTTTGTGGTGGCAGCCCCAGGACAGGTATGTAGCCCTCAGCTCCTTGATCTCCAGGGTGAGGCCGTATCCACTGCTGTATCTGCACCTCCTAGCCTCATGCCAGCATGTAGGAGGGTCTCAGTGACTCTGTGCTAGGGACTGGGGACACACAGGCCAAAACATGAAGTGATGACTGGAATCAATTTGAGGGAATTCACTTTAAGAATTTCATCAACCAGTATTACTGAACATTTTAATCAAAGATTCTTCAGGAGAATTCTGATCAAGAGGGGGGGGGAATGCAGAACAGAATTGAAAATTTTCATGGAATCCAGAACTTCTGGAGTCATGGAAGCTGGATGAACCCCTGAAACTCTTTCTCTGAGAGAATCTTTAAATCTGAAACCAGAAAATCCCGAAGTCTTTTTAAAACCAAGCTTACCTGGTAACAAATATCTCCCTTGTGCACTGGGCTCTTTCAAGATCTCTGTGGGACGAATTAATAACAAAAACTCAAAAGATGAGAGGGGAAGCTTAGGGGGCAATGAGCTGATGTTAATGGGGGAGAGACAGCTCAGAAAAGGAGGGTGAGGACAGTTGCCCAACTCAAAGAATGGGATCAGTGTCACCGAATGCTACATGGAGAAACAGTTGGTTTGGTCTATGTTTTGCTATGTGTATTCTCAACAACAACAAAATCAATAAACCAATTTTTTAAAAAAGTAAAAGAGTTTTTTAGCAACCGAGTTTTCTGCCACTAGGCCCGCCCTACCCACTGACCCTCCTCCTGCCCATTCTCCTTTTCCTCTTCTGTTCTCCCACACGCCTGCCCTCCCTTTTCTTTTGTTGCTGTCGGAGAGCCAGACCCTGGGGGAACAGGGGACCCTCCAGCAGCTCTCTGTCAGGCAGGGCTGGGAACCCTCGCTTTTGCTGGAAGGTCTCACTGGGGTAGGCTCAGGTGGCTCTTTCCCCAGGCTCTGCCAGCTGAGGCTGCTTCTGGGCAGTCTGTGAAGCTGGGTGCTCGCCCAGCCTGGTGCCCCACATTAGGTATGGGAAGATGTGGAGGAGTGAGCCAGGCTGGGCAGTTTCAGTGCTGGGCAGCGGGCTCCACCTCTACCCTCCCCGCAGGCTCGCTCTCTGTCCTCCCAGTCTCCCTCCTCCCTCCCTTCCCTTCTTTCATTATTCATTCATTCAGTAACTATCCAGCACCTGCCATTTTCAGGACAATATGATCCTTTTCTTTCACCAAACCCTGTGCTTCCACTGATCATAACATTATCACATTGAATTGAAAATCTCTATTCATTTTGAGCTTCCAGATGGCAGAGATTGAATCTTTACATTCATACATTTTCCTCTACCAGTAATACACAGAGAGAGCTATTATATAATGATTAACTTAAAGAATAATTGGACCAGGGCATGAAGAGATGGATGGATGGATGATGATGGATAGGTGGGTGGATGGATGGATGGATGGGTGGGTGGGTAGGTGGATGGATGGGTGGATGGGTGGATGGATGGATGGATGGATGAATGCATGCATGCATGGATGGATGGGTGGATGGATGGATGGATGGATGGATGGATCATTGGATGGGCAGGTGGATGAGTGGGCAGATGGCAGACGGGTTAAAAAACACACCTGTCTTCTTCTCTGGCATGACAAGATCCCATTGTTCATAATGATCAATTAGTTTACAAGTTTCCATCCCCGCACTTCAAGTGGCATCAGGTAATAAATCATCCCTTGGTTCCTGCGGTTGTTCTTTATTTCTGATAATAACCCTTAATCATCCCCATATGTGGAGCACTGTGCTGCACACTGGGGTTTTAAGGCAAATAGAACATGATGGTGGCCCTCACAAAGCCCACAGCCTACTGTCTGGTAGGGAAACCCAGGGGCTCTGGGGCCGGACTCCAGACCAGGAGTGTGCTGCGAGGCACCCCCCCCAGCTCTGCAACTCAGATGGGAAGCTCAGGTGGAAAGACAGCTCTGTATGCTTCTCCCAGCAGCACAGGGCCCGGCAAGCCTGACAGTTCGTTCAGGAGGCTGCACTCTGGCCACAGGAAGACTCTGCTTCCGTGGTTCAAATCTTCAATTCTGTTTGCGAAACATCTCAGTTATTCAACTAGACCAGAACGATGCTCCCAGGTCCATGTTTCCATCTCTGTAACTCAGGTTGAACATGAACTGTGTAGCAAGCCTTCCGCAGGGCACCACGTGAGGTCAGAACAAAAACTGACTGACTTTCATTTGCATGGATAAACGCATCTCTGGATGATGTCTTTTTTAAAAAATGTTTCCAAAGTAGCCAAGTGTGCAACTGTGAGTTGAGTAAAGGTTATTGTCAAGTGATGGCTGCACACAAGTAGTTGGTGTGGTGTTACTTTTCTCTTCCTTAATGAGGTGATATTGCACATGTGAAACTACAGGAATCATGATACCTTTGCTTTTAGTATGGCAGCATCTACACGTGTACACATCTATAAATCACGCTTTTTTAACCCAGTAACAAGATGTTCCCATCACATGTTTAAAACTGAGCAAAGTTTACATTTAGAAGTAGTCTGTAAACATACCTGTTTTGTGTTTTAGGGAACAGCCCATCACATGGAGCAATAGCAGGCAACGTTATTCTTAATTTAAGTGATGATAGATTCAGGCAAAAACAGTCTGTGAAGACCACTTTGTACTTGTTTCCATCTGTGATCCCCTGATGGTTGTGTTTGGAGGGTATGTTGAAGCTCCCCATGTGGATTTCTGGGTCAAGAGCAGGGGTGCTTGGCTCCCATCAACCTGTTCTCTTACCCAACTGCACCGTTAGCTTGTTCAGAGACTGGCTGATGAATATGGTGGGTGGGTAGCCCACAGTGAGGAGAGAAGGGGGAAGTTAAGGTAAGGCATCACCTATTCCTCTTTGTCTTTCTATCTTTAGGGTGAAAAAGGCTTTGATGGCCCCGTGGGACTCCCTGGTCCAAAGGTCAGTACTGGTGCAGTTCAGAATCATGAGTCAACCTGGGTTTTGTTCTTTACGTCCAAAATGACGAAGGAAAGAAAAGGTGTGTGTGCTTGCTGCCTGCTGGCATTTTGCCCCAGATGTTGAGATAGGAAGCCATGAATTTCAAACCCCTTGAATCTCTTAGAGGCTCCATTTCCATCTGAAAATACGAGCAAGAAAGGGTGGACTTACCCAAGCCCTGCTCTGTTCTTCTCTGCCCCCACAGGCCTAACTCTCCATAGGCAATTAATTCTGCATCAATCTTTTTAGTCTGTTATGTTGAGAGATTTTCAGGGACTGAGCTGTTAAGAGCCCTTTAAGTTGTGTGAAATTTGTTTTACACGAACTTTCCAAACTCACTAGTTGCGTGCAGCCAGGTATTTGCTGATGGAGTCCCTGGCCTCGTTCATGGAGCTATTCCAAGCATCCTCAGGTGTATAGTCTTTGCAAGGAGCCCTGGTAGTGCAATGGGTGGGTGCTTAGCAGCTACCTGAAAGGTTAGTGGTTTGAACCCACCCAGAGGCTCCAAGGGAGAAAGACCTGGCAGTGTGGTCCTACAAAGAATACAGGTTAGAAAACCACAGGGCAGCTCTGCTGTGTCACGTGCGGTTGCCATGAGCCGAAACCTGAGTTGATGGCACGTAACAACAATAGCAGAATGCTTACAAAGCTAGAAGGGGCCGTGTGCCCTCGCCATTGTTCAGGTCTCAGAAGATGAAACCAGAGAGGTGAACTGAAATGCCCATATCAGACTGAGTGGGCTCTGATGGGTCTGGTGTTGGGGGCCTGGCGGAACCCCTGGAACTCTCACTCCTCTGCTCTTTCTCCCTTCTGCCCTTCCCCAAGCCATGCTCTGGCCTCTCCTTGCCCTTCCCTGCCTCCTTCTCTCCCCCATCTCCCTCTTCCTCTCTCCTGCATTTCCTGGTCTCTCGTTCATTCAGTCATAATCACTGAATATCCACAGAACTTGATGCAGGGCTCACAGGATGGTTAAGGTACATCCCTGTCCTCAGGTACCCTGAGTCTGGAGGGCCAGGCCAACCTGTGAGCAAACGGAATCTGTTTCTACTGGATTTTTTCTCATCCTCTATCCTCTCTACCAGATTCTAGCAACAATGACTGCACCCGCTGCATGCCAGGTTCTGGGCTAGGAGCTTACCTGTTACCTGTCTTGTAGACAGCATGCATCATAGGTATAAGGATCACTTTTGCTTTGCCCATGCAAGGTGGTCAGTTCTTGTTGAATGAATGATATTCAGTCTTTACATCATACCCGCCTGAGAGGCAGCATTCATCCCATCTTACAGATGAGGAAACCAAAGGCCAAGGATAACAGGACTTGCCCAAGAACGTCTTCCTCCTTGTCCACTTCCTAGCTCATTCTTTCCCTTCTTATGTCTTCTTGCTCACTCCCTTTCCCCTCCCTTCTTCCGTCTCCTCCTTTCTCCCTCAGTCCTGCGTCTTTCACCTCTTTCCTCCCCCTTCCTCTTTCTCGCCCTTCTCTCCTACCTGCCCACACACTGCTGGGAGGGGGCACTCAGACAGCCCTTGTCATGCACGTCACGCCCCTGCACACACATGTGCACACACCTAGGTATGAACGTATGTGCGTGCTTGCACCACCCCCTGCCACCTACTGCACTCCTCGCCCCTGCTGATTCCCCTCCCTGTGCAGTGGAGAGCCATAGGAGCGTTATAGGGTGCCAGGGGCCATACCCAAGATGCAGACAGGCATTTCTGCCTCACTGAGCACTTTCCCAGCCATGGCCTCACTGCTTCCTCACTGTCAGAAAAAAGAAAGGAGCAGAGATACCTGGGGTATCTCTGGGCTTGGGTGGACCTATCAGTAGAAAGTGTCTGTCTAGAACAGTGGCGGTTTATGTATGGACTGTGCTTCTGCTGTGGTTGACCAGGCCTGGGTGATGTGGGCGGCAGAGCCCCGAGCCCTGGAATAGGAGGGAAGAGGTAGGGGTGGAAGGAGAGGGTGCTAAGGAGTGAGGGCAATGTAACCGCCTGGAAGCCTGCCTGGCTGACTTGCAATCCCTGGCCTGATAGTACAATCGGGCAAGCCACCCCAACCAGTGGTTGAGGCTCTGAGTAAACCTCTGTGGCGAACCATGGCTCCATTTACCTAGAGACAGATCAGGTCATGTCAACAAGCTCCACCTGGTATCTCCTGGGACCAAGGCCCATTCTGGACGTGAGGCTAGAAATGTAACTGTCAGTGAGCTCTGCCCCTGCCCAGGACTCACAGGCCAGTGGGAAGACAGATGTGAGAGAGAAAAGGGGGACCACTGGATGAGGCCAAGGCCGAGGGAAGTCCAGGGGCCGGGCTGTGGGTCAAGAGGGGAGCCCTCTAGGCCACCTGGTGAGGGTGGTCCAGCCTGAACTGGGTCAGGCAGGCTACCTAGGAGCTTCCCAGGACATAGATGGCAGGGAAGGGCATTACAGGCAAAGGGAACAGCATGAGCCAAGTAGCTATGTTCTTAGTATGCTGAGCGTGAGACAGGGATAGGGAAAGTTGAAATCAGACCGAGAAGAGCAGTGGTAGACTGGGTTCCTGTCTGGGATCTTGGCCCTGGTCAGTCTCTTCCTTCCTGTTGGGGACACAGCTCCTCCCTGCATGTCCTCCTTTTCGGTGGCAGTTGTGAAGGCCCAGCTCTCAGGCACGGACTTCTGATGCAGATGGCACAATCACAGGGCCCGCGTCGGCCCATTGCGGTTTTCAAAGCACTTCTGTGCCTTCAGCCATGTGTGTGCTCAGGACTTTGTGCCCGTTTTACAGAGGAGGAGCCTGGGGCCCAAAGAAAGTGACAGACATCCTCAGGCTTGGCGGCAGGGCCTGGGTTTGAACTGGGGGCATAACTCACCCTGTGGGGTCTGGGCTGTTGGATCTGCACCAGGCCGCTCCCATGGCCGGACTTGCAGTGCTTTTATTCACCTGCTTTCTCAAGATTCCTCAGTTCCTGAGATGGTGAAGCTGGGGGATGGGTTGCCATGGTTCCCCTCCCCAGGGATGGGCAGCCTGGCTTCCTCGTGTGTCTTACCATCCCTGACTCACACCGCCTGCTAAGAACATACAGCTACTTTGCTGATGCTATTCCCTTTGCCCGGGTGCCTTTGCGTATCTTCTTTGTCCTGAGAAGTCCCTACCTGTCCTGATGGGCCCAGCTCAGGCAGGCACTCCCACATAAAGGGTCCCCAGTGGACAGTGATGGAATCAGCTACCTTAAGGGCCAGGGCCAGGTTGGCCATGGGCAGTGGGCAGCCTCCGAGTATAAGACTCTGAGCAGAAGGTCCAGCTTGACGCATGTTTCTGTCCCCATCTCTCAGGGAGACGTGGGAATCCGTGGTCTGGTTGGAGCACCTGGACCCAAGGGACAGAAAGGCGACTTGGTGAGTAGAGGGCCACCTTTCTACATGGCTGTGGCTGATGGCTGTGCCGTGTAGCTATGCTGTGTGGCCACACTACGTGGCTGGGGTGAAAGACCCAGGGCTTCCCCAGGTGAACAAATCAGCCAGCCCGGGCTGGCCACCTGCTGGGGACTGGGCAGTGACTGTTGTACGGAGGGCCCAGGCACTTCTCATAGGCAGCAAGCCCTGTGGGACATGGCCTAGCCGGGCTCTCCTGCCTCGTCCCTCACCACCCCACGGCCGGCATTCGGAGCTGCCCGAGAGGCCACAGCTGTGAGCCCCTACACTGGTCCTCTGTCACTCACTGTCTCATGTCATTGCTGCACATGTTCTTTCTTCTGCAGGAATACCCCCCCACCGCTCTCTCTTTGGCCCTCCCCACTCGTGTTTGTCTGGCCCATGTTTTCTCATCACTCACACTCAAATTGATAGGACCTTCAAGATGTCATTCCAGCCTCCAGGTCTTGTCAGCACCCTGAACTGCACATCACCCGGCTTCCCTCAGCCAAGTGTCCATAGTTTTTGTCTGTTTCCCTGGCCAGCTCCCGCATCAGGCAATGATCCCCTCAGGGCCATGTCTGAGGTTTGACACATGGTGTAGTGTGAAGTGTGTCCATGAGTCTGCCAAGTGATGAATGAATGGACTCAGTGGTGGGGGCAGGAAAGAATTTCAGAGAGAACCAGACATGGCTCAGAGTGTGGCCTCAGGAGCCAAATGGATCCCGATTCTGTCAAGTTACTTAACCTTGTTGCCCTCAGTTTCCTCATCTGTATAATGGGAATGATAAAGGAAGCTGTACTGAGGATTAAATGAATGAGTCCATACAAATGGCTTAGATCAGTTCCGGAAGTGTAGTAAATCCTAGTGTTGCTGGCATTGTTACTCTCCATGGTCGGGGCATTAACCCCTGCCCCTAGACAGCACTGGGCAGTATGAATGTGGTATCAGAGGGACCTCACTAAATGGTTTTAGGTCTAGCCCTTATTAGCTGTGTGATCTTGGGCAGTCCTCTTAACTTCTCTGACAACAAGATGAGGAAAATGACCACTGGACTTGTAAAATGCCCGGGAATTACAGGCATTATTTATTTCTGGCCATAATCAGTGCCTTCTAGGTCTCAGTGCTGAGGGAAAACCCCAGATGGCAAGACAAAACCCTTTCCTTATAGGGATAATGTAGACAGTGGTGCAGTGGACCAACCCTGGAAACGTTACTGTTGTTAGGTGCCGTCGAGTCGGCTCTGATTCGTAGTGAGCCCATGCAAACAGAGTGAGACGCTGCCCAGTGCTGTGCCATCCTCAAAATCCTCGCTGTGCTTGAGCGCATTGTTGCAGCTGTTGTGTCAGTCCATCTTGTTGAGGGTCTTCCCCTTTTTTGCTGACCCTTTACCGAGCATGATCTCCTTCTCCAGGGAATAGTCCCTTCTGACATCATGACCAAAGTAGGTGAGATGAAGTCTGGCTATTCTCGATTCCAAGGAGCATACTGGCTGTACTTTTTCCAGCATAGATCTGTTCGTTCTGCTGACAGTATATGGTACTTTCAGTATTCTTTGCCAACACAATTCAAAGGCATCCATTCTTCTTTGGTCTCATTCATATTCCAGTTTTCAAATGCATAGGAGACAACTGAAAATACCATGAGTTAACTGAACTCACTCCTGTGGCTTCCAGCCAAACAATAGACAGGCGTATGGGGTGAACATCAGGTAGATACACTCCTTAGAGCGAGCAATCGATCAGTCATGGGAGAACAGAAGGGCAGTGTTTGCACAGGGAGACAGCTGGGCATGGGGTAGGAGTGCATGGGAGGGAAGGACACAGGGAGGAATTAACTATGGGGAGGGAGAGGGAAGACAGCTATTACATTGTGGGGAATTGCAGTCAATGTCATGAAACAAAATGTATATGAACTGCTGTATGGAAAATGAATCTGCTCTGTAACCTTTCACCCAAATTACAATACAAATTTAAAAAAGAAAATACTATGGTTTGGGTTAGGGGCACCTTAGTCTTCAAAGCGACATCTTTGCTCCTTAAGATGTAAATAGATCTTTTGCAGCAGATTTGTCCAGTGCAATATAACATCTGATTTCTTTACTGTTGCTTCCATTAGTGTTGATTGTGGATCTAAGCAAAATGAAATCCCTGACAACTTCAATCCTTTCTCCATTTATTGTGATGTTGCTTATTGGTCCAGTTGTGAGGATTTTTGTTTTCTTTATGTTGAGGTACAATCCACACTGAAGGCTGTAGTCTTTGATCTTTATTAGTAAGTGTTGCAAGTCTTCTCACTTTCAGCAAGCAAGGTTGTGTCGTCTGCATATCACAAGTTGTTAATGAGTCTTCCTTCAATCCTGATGCCATGTTCTTCTTCATATAATTCAGCTTCTTGGATTATGTGCTCAGCATACAGATTGAATAAGTATGGTGGAAAGATATAACACTGACTCACACCCTTCCTGATTTTAAATCATGCAGTATCCCCCTGTGTTCAAATGACAGCCTTCTGGTCTATGTACATGTTCCTCATGAGTACAATCAAGTGTTCTGGAATTCCCAGTCTTTTCAACGTTATCCATAATTTGTCACAATCCACACAATTGAACGCTTATGCATAGTCAATAAAACTCAAGTAAACATCTTTGGTATTCTTTGCTTTCAGCCAAGATTCATCTGAGATCAGCAATGATATCCCTAAATCCATGTCTTTCTTTTGAATGCAACTTGAATATCTGGAAGTTGCTGTCAGTATACTGCTGCAACCATTTTTGAATTGTTGTTGTTGTTGTTATGTGCCGTCAAGTTGGACCCGATTCATAGTGACCTCTCCTTGGGTTTCTGAGGTGGTATCACTATGGAAGTAGATTGCCCAACCTTCCTTCCGAGGAGTGGCTGGTAGGTTTGACCCGCCAGCCTTCTGGGTTATCTTCAGTAAAATTTTACTTGTATGTGATATTAATGATGTTGCTGGACAATTTTCATATTCTGTTGGATCATCTTTCTTTGGAATGGGCACAAATATGGATTTCTTCTAATCATTTGACCAGGTAGCCGTCTTCCAAATTTCTTGGCATAAATGAGTGAGTGCCTCCAGTGCTGTATCCGTTTGTTGGAACATCTCAGTGGGTATTCCATCAATCCTGGAGCCTTGTTTCTCACCAATTCCCTCAGTGCCACTTGGACTTCTTCCTTCAATACCTTTGGTTGTTGATCAAGTGCTACCTCCTGAAATAAGTTAACATCAATAGATTCTTTTTGATACAGTGACTCTGTGTATTCCTTCCATTTTCTTTTGATGCTTCCTGGATTATTCAATATTTTGCCTATAGAATTCTTCAATATTGCAACTTGAAACTTGATTTTTTTCTTCAGTTCTTTCAGCTTGAGAAATGCTGAGTGTTTTTTTTTTTTTTTTCCCTTTTGTTTTTCTATCTCCAGGTCTTTGCACATTATGTTACAATAATTGACTTTGTCTTCTCGAGCTGCTCTTTGAAATCTTCTCTTCAGCTCTATTATCTTGTCCTTTCTTCATTTGCTTTAGCTTCTCTCTGTTCAAGGGCAAGTTTCTGAGTCTCTTCTGACATCCATTTTGGTCTTTTCTTCCCTTTCTTGTCTTTTTACTGGTCGTTTGCTTTCTTCATGTATGATGTTCTTGATGTTATCCCACAATTCTGGGGTTTTTGGTCACATGTTCAGTGTGGCAAATCTGTTCTTCAGATGGTCTCTAAATCCAGGTAGGATATAATCAAGGTCATATTTTACCTCTCCTGGACTTACTTTAATTTCCTGTTAGCTTCCATTTGACCTTGGTTATGAGCAATTGATGGTCTGTTCCACAGTCAGCTCCTGGCCTTGTTTTGACTGATGATATTGAGCTTCTCCATCACCTCTTTCCACAGATGTAGTAGATTTGATTCCTGTGTGTTCCATCTGGAGACATCCATGTGTATAGCTGCCATTTATGTTGTTGAAAAAAGGTATTTGCAGTGAATAAGTCACTGGTCTTGCAAAATTCTCTCATGCGATCTCCAGCATCATTTCTGCCACCAAGGCTGTCTTTTCCAACTACTAATGATCCTTCTTTGTTTCCAGTTTTTGCATTCCAATCACCAGCAATAATCAATACACCTTAATTGAATGTTTGGTCAATTTCGGACAGCAGAAATTGGTAAAAATCTTGAATTTCTTCGTCTTTGGCTTTACTGGTTGATGCATAAATTTCAATAATAGTCATATTAACTAACCTTCATTGTAGGCATATAGATATTATCCTATCACTGACAGCATTGTACTTTGGGATAGATCTTGAAATGTTCATTTTGAATGATGAATGTGATGCCATTCCTCTTCAATTTGTCATTCCAGGCATAGTAGATCATATGATTGTCTGATTCAAAATAGGCAAAACCAGTCCATTTCAGCTCACTAATGCCTAGTATGGGAGCTCTGGTGGTGTAGTGCTTAAGGCATTTGACTGCTAACCAGAAGGCTGGCGGTTCAAACCCATCAGCCACTCCTTGGAAGGAAGGTTGGACAATCTACTTCCGTAGTGATACCACCTCAGAAACCCAAGGAGAGGTTGCTATGAGTCAGATCTGACTCGATGGCAGTGCAAATGCCTTGTATATTGATTGATCTTTATCCACTCCACCTCATTTTTGACAACTTCCAATTTTCCTACAGTCATACTTTGTGCAATCCATGTTCCGATTATTGATGAATGTTTGCAGCTATTTCTTCCCATTTTGAGTTGTGCCACATCAGCCAACGAAGGTCCCCAAAGCTTTATTTCATCCACATATCATTGAAGTCGACTCTACTTTGAGGAGGCATTTCTTCCCCAGTCATATTTTGAATATCTTCCAACCTGATGGGCTCATCTTCTGGCACTGTGTCAGACAGTGTTTCACTGCTATTCACAAGGTTTTCAGTGGCCAGCTTTCTTGGAAGTGGATGACATCACCCTTGTTCCCAGTCTACCTAAGTCTGGAAGCTCTGCTGAAACCTGTACCATGGGTGACCCTGCTAGTATCTGAAAACCAGTAGCATAGCCTTCAGTCTCACAGCAACACAGAAGCCACCACAGTACGAGTGATAGACAAGTGGTGGAAATAATAGGTAACTGAAATGATCTAGTCCTAGAAGGCCACATACTTCACGGGTCCATTCAAGTGAAAAGTCCAGAGCAGGCAGATGTATGCAGACAGAAGAGTGGAGATGCTCATGGGCAGGAATGAATGGGATAGGGATGGTGACTGTGGGTGTAGGGTTTCTCTCTGGCATCAGGGAAACTCTAAAATTAGCTGTGGTGGTGGTGGCACACCTCTGTGGATATGTTAGAAATACGCTGATTTATACATTTTGAATGGGTGAATGGTATGGTATGTGAACTGTATCCCAATAAAGCTACTGTTGGAGAAAACACTGTCTAGAATGTTGAGTTGTTGCCAAAACGAAATGACACAACATTCATGACTGTTCATACTCATTAAACAGCAGGTACCATCTTTTCCAGGGGCACTGTGGTGCAGATGACGGGGCACATCTGGTCATTTCAAACCCAGGGTGGTATGTGACGTCATGCCATGGGAAGGCTCAGTTTGAAACCTTTGCCTTCTGCTTTGTTTCTTTCTAGGGCAGAGGAATTTTCATACAAGGCGAAAAGGGTGAAAAGGTACGTCCCCCTCTTTGTAACACTCTTTCGAGGGCTGTAAAGATGGCTGGGAACAAGACGGGGGCTTGGTCGGGAGAGGTGTGTGCTAGCATTGTGCCTCCTGGCAGGAGTTCAAGGGAGAAGGGGTCTCCTGTGCCCAGTACTGAGCCTCATAGTCCCCTCCCCGACTTAGGTCATGGAAGCACACTTCATGGTCACGCTTCTTGGTCAATAGGCAGAGAGAGGGTGGAGATAGGAAATGGTGGTTGAGGACCAAGAAGCAGGGCCACATGTCTAGGGAGATTCAGGGAGATTCTGAGAGCAAAGTTGGCATTTGAGTTGCACCTGAGAGGTGGAGCTTTTTGAGAGGTCCTCCCAGGTGGTGAAGGATGCGAGCAGGACAGAGTGGGTGGGGAAGAGAGGGCTGAGGATGCAGGTGGTCAGAATATTTAGAACAGAGGCTACATAATCACCCCTGAAGACAGTGGGACATGGAGCTGGGAAGTTGTTTGCAACCTGGATGAAGAGCATTGAGTACCCGACGTGTTTGAGGCTGTGCCACAGTGGCAAGAAGCAATGAAAGGTCTGTGCATCCTGAGATGCACTGAGAACGTTCTTTCTGCAGATTGTCCAAATAGCAGATGCCAGCGGATCTGAGAAGGGAGGCACCAGGAGAACTGGGGAGATAGTCAAGAGATTGCAACATCCTGGTGATTGTGAGGATGACATGGGACTGGGCAGGGTTTCATTCTGTCATACACAGGTCACCCGTGAGTCAGAGCTAATTGATGGTAGCTTATAACCTTAGAAGTTATTCTCACCTGCCCTATATATATTCCTTTGAGTTGGATTGTGTCCAATAAAGGTTGAAATCCTGACCTCTGTGCTTGGGAACATGACCTTGTTTCAAAATACAGTTTTAAGTGAAATCAGACAAAGTCATACCTGAGTAGGGTGGTTACTAAGCCTAATTCCTTCTGAGTAGCATCTTCTGAAAGGGGAGCAGAGACATGGAGCAAACTTCATACATGGGGGAAGACAGCACATGAGGACTCATGTGCAAACAGTGAAGGACACCAAGGGTTGCCAGGGCCACCAGCAACTAGGACAGAGACATGAAGCAGGTCCTCTCTTAGACAGGCAGACCGTGGAGATACTGCAGTGTTTCCAGACCACCACAATAAGGAGAGCCTCGTGATAAAGAGTCACAAGAATTTTCTGGTTCCCAGTGCACATCAAAGTTATGTTTACACTAGAATGGAGTCCACGAAGTGTGCAATCGCATGATGTAAAAAGTGTGAAATATTGTGAAAATGACTAAAATGGAAGCCAGAGACAGGAAGGGAGCACATGCTATTGGAAAAATGGCGCCCATAGACTTGCTTGACTCCGGTCACCTCGTACCTTCAGTTAGTGAAAACCCCAATACTGGCAAAGAAGTGCAATGAAACAAGGCGTGCCTGTGCTCAGAAGGCACTGACATGGCTAACCCTCTAAATTGAGGCTTGTAGCCTCCAAAAGTGTGAGAGGTAAATTTTTGTTCTTTAAAAAAAAAAAAAAAAAACTATTGCAAGAGTTTCAAAGGGAGGTGATGAGGGTCAGAGCTGGGGTGGCTTAGCAGATCCTGAAAAATCCAGGACGCCTTCTGAGGAAGAAAGCTCACTCAGCTGTTGGCTAAGGAGAAATGAAAAGCAGAGACTGACCAGAAGTGCCACCGTCCACTCACACCAGCTGCTAAAGACAAAACAACGCAGAAACGCTCCCATTTCCCAGGACAGGCAGCCACGAGGCTCCGTGAGAGCACGTTGTCGATGGCATCCTCGGAGTCTTATGGCCTCAGAGCACCCTGCCGAGCGCCTGCCCCGGCGGCGCACCCAGCACTCACATCACCGTCTCCTGGCTGCTGGCACAGACCAGGTGCTCGGTTGCAGTGCAGACAGCCTTCTCAGGACCACGCGTTCTCTCCCTGAGGCCAGCCTACTGAAGGCCTCAGCAATGCCCACTCCCTTTACTCCAGCCGGTCACGTGGAGGTTTACTCTAAGGAGATCCCCAAGGATACACACCGGTGCCTCCCGCAGGTTGCGTTCAGTGTGATCAGTGCACACTAACCACTACTCCTGGGAAGCACGGGCTTCCGGGGACTCACTTACCAATCTGCAGTGAACAATTGTACATGGGTTTCACTGCATATTACACTCCTGGCTAATCCGCCCCTGAGTGTAATTCATAAGTGATATTGGAAACAGCAGTGGTGCTGTGCAGTGAGCAAAGGGTTAAGTGACTCATTGGACAGCCAGGGGCCACAGTAGCAGTCTAGTGCAAAATCCCATTTAGAAGAGAAGTTAATGACTAGAAAATGTAGACAGTGGTTTGTTAAGTTTAAAAACATGTTGGGAAGTGTATGTAATCAGATGATCCTAGTTGTGAGTATGAGTGTGAGTGTGCATGGAGTGAGAGGAAGAGAGAGACTTATTGAACGATTGATTCTGGAGATTTCCACAGCTCCTGGTTGTCCCTGGATGCTTGCAGACCTGTGTATGTTCAGGACCAAGTGTTACTGGAGTCAGTGGAAGGTGTGAGGGCTGGAGTCACAGGCCTAGCTTCAGTTCTCACTGCCTCATTTTAACCATGGCCTGTGGGCCGCTCTGGACTGGTTTTCTTTCCTGTGGAAGGATGATATAATAGCCCTTAATATGTGAGGTGGCTGGAGGATTAAGAAGGAGCCCTGGTGGTGCAGTGGTTAAATCGTTTGGCCAAAAGTTCAGCAGTTGGAACTCACTAGCTGCTCCATGGGAGAAAGATAAGACAATCTGCTTCCTTGAAGATCACAGCCTTGGCAACCCTCTGGGACAGTTTTCCTCTGTCCTGTAGGGTCACTAGAAGTTGGAATCACCTTGATGCCAGTGGGTTTGGTTTGGTGGGAGGATTAAAGGAGACAGTACGCATCATGGGTTTGACATGGGTTTGACCCAGTGCCCAGGAACTCATTACTATGATGATGATGTTCTTGCTACACCAACATTGCAGCGTTCAATACTTTCATGGTGATGATGGTCATGATGACAAAAGGCTACTGCTCTGGTCTGGTTTGGAGCCGTCAGAGTGGAGTCAGGGATAGCAGGGAGGAGGGCAATATCTCCCAGAGCCCTCTTTCAGTCCTTGCTTCTTCCAACTTGAGAACATCAACAAGCACAGTGTGGGTGTTGGTGTAAGGTTTCAGTCCATGGTGTATGGTGATAGTGTCTCAGAATCTTCTGGGCCATGAATCCCAGGGGTGGAAAAAGATTTGGAAGAAACAAAAAACAAGGTAAAAGTATGCACTTGCCAATGAACTTCCTTTAGTCCTTCTGTTCTGAGGGAAGCCAAGGTCTTCACAGAGGAGGAGCCCGCCTTTTTTGGACCTACAACGCCCTCTAGTGTCTGGAAGCTGGAGCATCTCTCCAGTTTTCCTCTGTGTGGAGACTCACGCTTTGCCATGGTGGGAAGGCTCTGCTGTTGTTTGGGTAATTCTCTTCAGCCTAGGAAGCTGGCATCTGGGAGGGAAGAGGGCAAAGGGACGCTTGGATTTGTGGGCACAGGTGACGGAAAGAAAGCAGGTTTTAGGGGTTGGGTAGACCTAGGTTTGGATCCAGTTCTTGCGTAGCTGGCTGGGCCATCTTCAGATGGTATCCCTCAGCTTCCTCATCTGTGAAAGGGGGCTGTGATGCCTGTCTCTCAGGGCTGTTCTTGGGTTAGAAGGAGCTCTGGTGGCAAGTGCTTAAGGCATTTGACTGCTAACCAAAAGGTTGGCAGTTCAAACCCACCAGCCATTCTGTGGAAGGAAGACAGGGCAATCCACTTCTGTAAAGATTTATCACCTCAGAAACCCAATGGGGGTCGCTATGAGTCGGAATCAACTGTGATGCCTATTTCCCAGGCCTGTTCTTGGCTTAGAGGAGGCTTGTAATGCTGATGCAGATGCCTTACCTAGTCTGGCACACAGTAGGTACATGTTAAAAATCCATCCCAGGGCCTGTATCACTTTCTGTTTTTGCTAGAAGTTATCACTAAAATTCAGTAAGGGGTGACATGGTTTCTCCTTGAGTAGAGGCTACCCAAGGAGCTATCACCAGAGCTCCACCACTGAGTATCTATTTGTCATTATTATTTTCTATTTAATACCAATCCAGGTACTAAAACCAGGGCTGGACCCCACCTTCCAGGAGCTCCTAAGTCAAGTGGAAGAGACACATAGCAAAGTCTGTCTACATGGTTCTGTTGCAGCCTGAGTCTTCTCCCTGCCCCTTTAAGGGCATCACTGTACCACCTTTATTCCCCCACCCTTGCTTCTACATGGACAGAGTCATGATTAAGATGCTGCCCAATCCAGAGAGAGAGAGAGAGAGAGAGAGAGAGAGAGAGAGATTTGTTTACTTCAAGGGGTTGGCTCATGCAACTGTAGGGGCTGGCAGGTCCCAAATCCATGGATCAGGCTGGAGACTCCTGCAGGCTTGAGGCCTCAGATCCATAGCTCTGGTAACAGAAACAGTGCAGACTGGAAGGAGGGAGAGAGAGTGCTGCCAACATATTTACATTGTAGTCTGATGCCAACCACGCCTCAGGAAATTCCCTTTTCAACTAATCCATTGATCGCATGACATTGGCTTACCATATTTTTATGCAAATAAGGTGCAGGTTACCTGGTTTTTTTGCAAACCACCAACCCTCCTTACACATTAGTTTCTTATGTGCACTGTACATATTATATGCATGGGCACATTATTTATGTGGGTGCATTATATGTGAAAATACAGTGCATTACAGAAGGTCATTACATTACATCACATTACAGAACAGTGGCCCCAACCACTGGGAACTATAGCCTTCCCAAGTTGACACATAAAATTCACCATCAAGGGACACAGTAGGGGGAGTCTTCCCAGACCCTGGCCGAGGCTGGATGACATTTTGTAGAGAGCAAGGAGCCCTTGAGACCCACAGGAAATGAAATTGAGGCCGAGTGTCCCCTAAAGCCATGTGC